ATATATATATATATATATATAAAATCTTCTAAATGTCATAATAAAGATGAGTTCTCAAGAGTTACAAGTATCATCTTCACATGTAGGGATGTAAAAAGTTTGCCCTTATTGAATAATGTGTTTTTTTTTCTTTGTTGTTTACCTTTTTATGCCTCTCTTGAGTCTTGTATTTGAAGATCAGATTTTCTCTTGAGCTCTGGTCTTTTCATCAGGAAAGTCTTTAAGTGCCCTATTTTATTGAATATCCATCTCCTTGCCTGAAAGATTATTCTGTTTTGCTGGGTAGTTGATCCTTGGTTGTAATCCAAACTCCTTTGCCTTATGGAATATCATATTCCAAGCCCTCCAATCTTTTATTTATTTATTTTGGTGAGGCAGTTGGGGTTAAGTGACTTGCCCAGAGTCACACAGCTAGTAAGTGTTGTGTGTCTGAGCCGGAGTTGAACTCAGATCCTCCTGACTCCAAGGCCAGTGTTCTATCCACTGCACCACCTAGATACCCCCTCTCTGATCTTTTAATGTAGAAACTGCAAGGTCCTATGTAATTCTGACCGTGGTTCTATGGTATTTGAATTGTTTCTTTCTGGCTGCTTGCAGTATTTTCTCCTTGACCTGATAATTCTGGAATTTGGCTGTAATATTCCACGTTTATCAATTTGGGAATCTCTTTTAGGAGGTGATTGGTGAATTTTTTTGATGATTGTTTTACCCTCTGGTTCTGGGACCTCATGGCAGTTTTCCTTGATAATTTCTGGGAAGATGCTGTCCAGGCTCTTTTTATCATAGCTTTCAGCTAGACCAATAATTCTTAAGTTATCTCTCCTGGATCTATTTTCCAGGTCAGTTGTTTCTCCAATGAGATAATTTTACGTTTTCTTCACTTTTTTCATTCCTGACCGATTCTTAATGTCTCATAGAGTCATTAACTTCCACTTGCCCCATTCTAATTTTTAAACGAATTGTTTTCTTCAGTTAGCATTTGTCTCTCCTTTTCCATTTGGCCAATTCTACTTTCTAAGGACTGGTTTTCTACAGTCAATTTTTGTCCTTCCTTTTCCAAGCTCTTGACTCTCTCTTTTACATACCTCTCATTTCGTTTCCCACTTTTTCTTCTGCCTCTCTTATTTGGCTTTTAAAATCCTTCTTGAGCTCTTCGAAAAAGTCTTTTTGGGCTTGAGACAAGTTCATATTCCTCTTTGAGGTTTCAGATGTGGGTAAATTGACAATGCTGTCCTCTTCTTCTGAATTTGTGTTTTGATCTTCCCTATCCCCATAGTAAGAATCAGTGGTCTTTGTTTTTCTGTGTTGCTTTTTGTTCATGGTGTTTGCCTTTTCCCTGGCTTTTAAAGTTGATCTCTGCTTCTGGGGCACAGGAGATAGTGTCCCACACTTCTTGTGCTGGGGCCTAGGGGCCCCTGGTTACTGGCTTTGTGTGCTGGGGCCTCAGGTTCTGGCAGCTGGAGACTGTAGAGGCTATAGCTTACCTGGTGGTGGCTGGTGTGTGCCAAGGCCAGGTGGGGTTACACTGAAGCTCACGGGGTATGGTGTGGGAGAAGAGGTGGTCTGGCCACTGGAGTTCACCTCCTCACCAGGGGCTGCACTAGAGCACGGATAGGCTCACCCCGCTGGTAGAAGCCTGTCCACTGCACAATTGGTGGTTCTCTGTGCTGGTGCCTGCTGTTTCCCTGGCTGTGCCAAGGCATGTGGGGGGGGGGGCGGTCCTGGTGTTGGCACTTGCTGTTCCACTTCCCTGGGGCTTAAGGTCTCCTGCTGGTTTGCTGAGGTGGGGTTTGCCTCTGGCTTGCTGGGATGCCTCCAGTCTTGTACTGGTCCCCTCCAGCCACAGCAAGAGGGACCTTTCCTGTTAATCCTCATACCCTCATGAGCTAAAAAGCTGCTGTATTCTGTCTTTCTGCTGGCTCCACTGTTCCAGGATTTTTCCTGGGGCGGTATTTTCTGGGTTTTTTAAGGCCAATAAGGGAAAGTGAGAGCGACTTACTGCTTACTCCACCATTACTTCCACTCCCGGAAGTAGCCTGGGATAATTTTTAAATGACATAGCAAAGTTTTTCTAGAAAACAGCCTTTAGTTTAGATTTTCCAGGCTGTTCAAAGTACCTCCCATAAATCCCTCTGAAAATCTAAGAATGCTAACAAAATGATTATTAATTAAACATTTCATTTATAATAGAATTATTTTTATATTTTTTATTTTATTTTTTGTTTATTATTTTTTAGGTAGGCCATGTTTTTGATAGAGTTATCTATATTTTTTCAGGAGACCCCAGTTTACTGCAAAAAAGAAATTACATTTACGATTATTTTAGAGGATTTTAATTTTTTAAGGGAAACAGTTCTGTGTTCTGGTAAAATCAATGAATGACAGGTCAGGAGATCTGTATCCTAGTCCTGGACCTACCTCTAACTAACTAGCTATAAAACCTTGAGCAAATCTCTAGGGCTCACTTTTATTCCTATGGAAAGGTAGGTTGGGGTTGAATTGTGGAGGGCCTTTTATTCAGTAAGCAGAGGGAAACTTGGAAAAGTTTTGAGTAAAGGGGTAATGTGGTTACAGTTATACAATAAAAGATTAATATGGCAACAGTATATATAAGGTAAATTTGGGAAGGGGAGGATGGATGAAGTAGGAATCCAAGAAGATGACTAGACATGGTACCTAACATACACCCATAATCCCTGCTACTGGGAAGACTGATGCTGGCAGATCTATTCAACTCAGTGGGCTAAGTCAATCAGTATCCACTCAAAGTTTAGCATTGGTATGGTCAGATGCCAGGAAGCAGGGAACCATCAGATTGCCTAAAAAGGAACAAACTAGCCCAAGATGAAGATTGGAGAGTCAAAGCTCCTGTGGCAAATGGAGTGGGCCTGGGCTGCGAATGACCCTTGCACTTCCAGCCTAGGAGAAATAGGGAGACCCAGTTTTTTTTTTTTGGTTGTTGTTGTTGTTTTGGTCCAAGGAGATAGTCTAAACAAGAAAGAAATGGCTTTAAGCGGGAAGTCAGGTTAAGGCTACACTATGTCTGTAGTCTTAGACAAGAGAGAATGAGAGCTTTGGAACAGAGTGGAAATACTAGAAATGAAGACAAAGGGAGAGATATTTTGAAGGTAGAAAATATGGGACCTATCACCTTATTAAATGAGGGAGTAAGGGGTAGGAAAAAATTAAGTTGATCTTAATAAGCAAGTGTGTGGTGCATTGTTGGGAAGTCCAGCATGTATCAGCAGGAATCTGTGCATGTAGGGGCTTGTTTATAGTGTGATACTATATGGTGACATGACACAATATTGCACCATCAAAATTTCAGTTCAGGAAAAAAAACACAAATGTATAATAAATTATTAAATTTAAGATGTGTCATTTTCTTTTTTAAAAAATTTATATTTTTTTTAAATGATAAAAATTGCAAAAAACAAACTGTTAAAGGGTTCTTAAAGGAAGTAGATTTCCAGGGGGGCACTGAGTAATTTTTTTCTCTTTTGGTTGAGGTGGTTGGGGTTAAATGACTTACCGAGGGTCACACAGCTAATAAGTGTCAAGTGTCTGAGGCCAGATTTGAACTCAGGTCCTCCTGACTCCAAGGCCAGAACTCTATTCACTGTGCCACCTAACTGCCCCATATATATATATATATATATATATATATATATATATATATTTTTAAAGGAGGCAGTAGGCCAAATAAGTTTGGGAATCTCTGAACTAGACAGAAGAATGGATTAGGGAAGTTCAAGTGAGAACTATAGAAGCTGTGAGAAAAGAGTTCCAGGAAGGAGAGTCAACTTAGTGACAAATGTAGAAGAAATATCACTAAGAAACTGAGAAAAGGGCTTAAACCTTGAATCTGAGGTCTTTGTCACCGAGATCTTTCCTTGTTGCAGCTAGCTAACTCAGCAGACTCCCTTTCTTAAGCAAGCAATGCTGTGTAATATATGAATCATTTTGCCACTGATATAATATATTAAGTTAGAATGACATAATTAAAAAATTTTTTTGGTCTGAATTCAGTTTCATTAGTGTTAAACTCTCTGTGAAAAAAAATTTTCTCTACCAACACAGATGGTTCTACTCTGCAACTTTATATATTTAAGGAGTTGCCTGGGTCACTGAGATTTTAAATATTCACATAGCCAGTAAGTATCAGAAGTAAGACAATATTAAAAGCTAAAATTTTAATGTACGTAATGAAGCAGTTAAGATAACAAGAGTTAGCAACTGAGTTAAGGATGTTACCAGTTCAACCATATATTAAGTTTGAATATGGGAAAGGATCAAGAGATTGATGTTTTTGTTCCTTGTTCAATCATTTTCAAGTGTGTATTTATTGTTCTTCCATGAGTAAATAATTTAGCATAATCAGTGTACATGTCATTTTCCTGCTAGGCACTGAGAATAGTGCCTTTATAATAAGAATAAGAATAGACAAGAAGACATTTTATTTGTTTAATAATCAGGTACCTTCATACTTCATATATTGTGTATTGACACAGGTAACCCTTGATTGGCTTATCTACTTTAAGGGCATTTGATGGTTTTTCAGATGTAATTTTTCAGTGTAGAGATGGAGGAATTCTTCAGAATTTTATTTTATATATTGGTTGCTTGCTGGAAATAAAAGATTATAAAATATTTTTAAATAAGGGGGGGAAATCATTCAGGTGTTTTTGAATATTCTTCCCCTCTCTGCTATGATTATAGACTTCCCTGTCTTCTTTTAAGTCCCAACTAAAATCTCACCTTCTACAGGAAGCCTTCCCTAATCCCCTCTTAAATCCAATATCCTTTCCTCTGTTAATTATTTCCTATTTTTTTGTATATAGCTTGCTTCATATATATTTGTTTTCATGTTGTCTCTCCCATTTGATTGTAGGCTCCTTGAGGGCAAGGGCTGTTTTTTGCCTCTTTTTGTGTCCCCAGCTCTTAACATGGTACCTAGCATATAAAAGACTCTTAATATTTATTTATTGATTTTTTAATAGGTACATGGCCCCTGAAGTTCTAGATGATTCCATAAATATGAAACACTTTGAATCATTCAAGCGCGCTGACATCTATGCAATGGGATTGGTTTTCTGGGAAATAGCTCGGAGATGTTCAATTGGTGGTAAGTTACAGTTTTACACAATTATGTGAATATTATCTCACTACTTCAAGGGGTTATGAGAAATGTACTTCTTAAAAACTGTAAAGGACTACAGAAAATAAAGCTTATTTAGTAAATCTACTACTTAAGCCATTTTACTTGGATAATCTCTTAATTCCGATTAAAAGTGAAAGAAAATAACCTGCTTCCAAGTGTCTCTGTCTTTGTACCTCTGTGTCTCCATTTACCTTTTCCTGTTCTAATGTTTGGAGACATCTGACTATTAGGAATAAATTAAATTCATATTATACTGGAAATTATCCATAGAACAGTTATCTGCCTAAGAAAGAGGTTGTTACTTAGGAATCTACCTTTATGTACGTGGATCATACCTTGAACTGGCAAGAATTTCATCAGGTATTTGTCCCAACAGATAAGCTCATTCCAAAGAAATTTTCTCACTTAAATCCTATAAACACCCTTGTTTCTATTCCTCTTATTTCTTTTATGATATATGTACTTAACTTTAGAACATGTCATTATACTCAGTATTTTTTGTTCTTACTCATTTAACAACTAGCATGGATTGATATATGTATGCCATATACCCATTTTAAAACATAGTAACATTTCAAATAAATTATTTTTTAGAAATGTAATAATAGGGCATTTGCTAGTAGAATGGGTCCAGAGAGAAGATAGATTGAAGCAGTACCTCTGTCCTAGAACTCGATGCCAGACAGGAAATGGTGCTGATATTCTCCTCCTTATTCCCAAATCACTAGTATATCCATTTATGCAGTCTACTCATGTGCCCCTCACATGCCATTGAAATAGCTGGGGCAGCTTCTAGAACTCAGTCGTTTTTCTTTTAGTTTTCTGGGTTCTAGGACCTCCCATAAGCTGACAGAGTTTGTCTTTATTAAATGTCTTGTGGCTTGGGCGTTTTGAAGCTGTTGGTTCCCAATCCCCCACCTGGATGTGTAAAGGAAGCAAATGTATAAGTTTTTAAAGTATCTTTTTTTTTTGGATGATTTTAATGTATTGGATGAAGAGGATAGGGGTGGGGAGGAAGAATTCTGCCCTTTTAAAATAGCATGAAATCATGTTGTAATGTCTAAAAATAAAATAAATAGGAGGGAAGGGAATCCATACAGAAGATTTCTCAATGTTGTGAAAGAGCAGATTGTTGAGACAAACCAAACATAAGCCCAAATAAAAAACTTTAAAACTGAGTCATGTATTCTGGGTAGAGAAGACAGATACTAATTAATAAAAAGGTCTATTTTTGTGTATGATATAAATGTGTATAAATATTGCACCCCTATATGACATGTACTTGTATGGCAGTTTTTTATATGGCAATGTGTAGTGTAAGGTGCTGTTAAAGAAGTGAATCTGCATTTAATGTATATCATACTACCATAGGTGCATATAGAGGGATATATACAAATAGATACATACATTGATATACTTTATTAATTTGACAGCACA